ATGTAAGGACTATATCGCGTCAGCTGTCCCCTTGGATCAGAGTTGTAATTTGATTTTTCATATTTTATTCTGCTTTCCAAGAGTGAATATGAAAAAATGATTGAAACATGATTTTTTATGTAAAATCTGATGAGGAATTCAAATTCATAAACTCCAAATACCTTAATTTCTAACTTTCAGCCTTGGTGGCAAAAATAAACATGTTCATATCCAGCGATATGGTCAATATTGTAATATGTTCTTCGATACACCAAAATACAACTTCTAATAAATTTTTGTCATCGGCAGACAAACAGACTTCATTATTGACCTTCATATCTTCCAATAAAACATGATTTTTCTCTAGATTTCCTCTATTCTTGACACATATGAAGCTCAATAATGAAGTCTGTTTGTCTGCCGAGGACAAAAATTTATCAGAAGTTGTATTTTGGTGTATCAATGAACATATTACAATATCGGCCATATCGCTGGATACGAACACGTTTTACTTTTGCCACTGAAGCTGAAATTTAGAAATTAAGGTACTTGGAGTTTATGAATATGATTTTTGACATAAAATTTGAATTCCTCGTCAAATTTTACATATAAAATCATGTTTCAATCATTTTTTCATATTCACCATTGGGAAGCAGAATAATATATGAAAAATCAAAACAAAAAGAGGGGGGGGGGGGGCAGTTGATGCGATATAGCCCGTAAACACACGTAGCATATAATAATCCGCACACAGTCCCGGTGACTGTTCTTTACTACCTGTTGTTTGTTTCGTGCAGCAGTTGGTTTGGTGCAGCATCCTCGAAATTGATCAGTCAACGAAATTGTATTACACGCTTCCAACTGTTTGAACTTACTGAGACTTTTGCCGATAAGATATTATACGGATAGCTTCACTATTTTGTCAATGAACATAGAATAAAACGTTGGATGAACATAGAATAAAATGGAACAGGAAGGAGTACGAAAACATTGCATCGACTCGCCCGCAAGCCGAATTAGGATTGCATAAGCAAACAACTTTAAATGCAAACTATTGAAACAAAGAGATTAATAAGTGTAATAATAAACAAAAACACACCTTCCTCTCAAATTCATGCTTTCAAATAGATTTATTTGTTTATTATTTGCAAGCAACAGTAAGTTTAACAATGATACTTTACTTCCACGTCCAAACCCTCATCTTTAAAACAAGAATTTTTAGAATTTTCTAGCTTTATTGACGATTTTTCTATGCACTTATTTATACCTTTTTGAAAACAAGAATAATATTATATTGTAGCATTAAAAGAATGCTGTTAATAATGAACGAGGACGACATCGCCGCGGTCACGGACGCCTCGGTGTTATGCGTTATCGACGTTTTGCAATAAGTTGAGGCCGGCCCAAAATAATTAATCGACGTTACCCATGAGAAATAGCACGTGTTAATTTAAATTATCGATATGCAGTTGATAATGGTCTAAATGTGTGTTACTTTTTTACCACCTCCTCCAATTCTACTTACCTCGTGGGTTAGACAACGAACAAAACTTTCAAGCCCAGCCCCCGTGGCATTGTTTATGTAAATTTTACATCTTCCCTGGGGTGTTTTTTAACATGATAACATAAAATAAATTATTCACAGGTAGTTTATGACGCAGTTAATTGTTGACAACATCGTACTCGTTCAGAACAATTATTTTCATATTTTTTTGTTCCATTTACATCATATGTGTATTCAAAGAAAGTTGGTCTACCAAACAACAACTTCTTCAACATCAAAGACATGTTTTATTCAGATATGGCGAACTTACAGGAAGAAGACCAAAAATGTATGGACGTCTTGGGAGTTTTTCGATTTCCTTTATTTGTGTTCACTGCAAAATGCACATTTATGTGGCCGGCCCAAAATGCCTGTACGAGATATGTAGGGAGAACCATGATTTCTTTATACTTATCATGTGTGATGATTTTGTCCGTAAGTATTTTCAATGAAAAAAATCCAATGAATTATTAGATGAAACCATCAAAAACAAAAAGAATAATTCTTGAATTATTATAAACTTGAAGACTTCTTTTTAATATGAGACTATACATTTAGGTCGTGCAATTATTTGAAGAATTCAATAGAGTCAATACTATCTATAACAATATCATTGAAGCTACTACTCAAATTATAGTATTTTCACTATTTTGGTATATTTATGTTTCTGATTTTATTCTGTATAGACATAAGGTAAGTAATTTTTTTCCATTAATATAATATTTAATTTACCAGTTTTAAGGAGATAATTATTCATCAACTTTCATTTCAGATGATAACGTGCCTGTCAATAATGTTCAGACTGGTTGAAAGCAATGATTCAGATGGTAAAAAAATACTTGATACAATAATTAAAAAGACTTTCTGGTTTAGTACCATTGAAGCTGGTAATAAATAAATTTTTCCGGAAACAAAAATTATAAATTCGGTAAATTTCATTCGTTACTTTACAGTTGGAGTCCCTTTATTGTGTGCTAGTTACGTCCTATCTCCGGTAGTTAACCCCATCTTTTTATCGTGGCTACATTCAGACAATCATACATATGAAAAAGTTTCACCATTGAAAATGGAACTTTTTCTCGACGAAAATAAAAACTTTTATTCAATTTTTCTCATACAATTTTTTATAATTATTTTCCACGGCATAATTGCGTCAATTCTCAATTATTATCAATGTATGTTGACAGGCTTTATCATTGCCCAGCTTAAATGTTTAGAGTACGTAAAAGTTCTAGAATTATTTTCTCAGTACATTTTATTTTCTGGGTTAGTTACTTTATATAAATTACTATATGTTTATTATGAAATGTAGATATTATTTGAATGAAATAGATAATGAATTCAATTGCAAGATCTCTGAGCTTGATGAAACTAAAACCAACTTGATTTGCCAAAAACTTAAGGCAATAATTCGACAACATCAAAATTGCATCAAGTAAGTTATTATGTATAGTATCATTTAAACAAAAAACATTTTACTATTTCACTCTCTTATTAGCTTCTTTGTTTCGTAATCTACTATTACGTCGAAACTTGATTAAATAATTTATTTGCAACTTTAGGATTTTTGAGGTTTTTCGTTCTATGGCAAGTCCTTCAGCCTTTGGAATAATAATATTAGATACATTCGTTCTCATTTTGACTGGAACATGGGTAAGTATTCTAGGATAAGCGAAGATAGTTTCAACTGACTCACTTCGATGTAAATTCAGATGGTTATTACACTGGCCAATTCGGACTTAACGGAAACTGCAAAAATGTTTTTTGTTTTTAATTCTGTCCTGGCTATTATTATTGAAATATGTATTCCAAGTCAATTGATGAGCAATGCCAGCTATGACTTTTTCCTTCGCAGGTAAAAGATAATCCTTCCACTCTTAGAAAAGTGATCAAAAGTAAAAAATGTATGCAGGTTGCTAAAAGTAATTTGTATAATTTCCACTTAGCTATTGCATAAACTGGTATAATTATCCAGTTAAAGCTCGGAAGTTGTTAATATTCATTATGGCAAGGTCAATGATGCCCCTTGTATTGGTAGCTGGACCGACGATTGAATTGAATTTTGAAACTTGCAGTAGTGTAAGATGATTACTTTTTGCCCCATTGAAAATCATAATTAGACAAATCTATTTTTTAGGTAATAAAAGGAACGATTTCGTATGCAGCAACATTCAGATCGTTATATGCTTCTTATAAAATGGATTAAAAAATATAAATTGAATGAAGTCATAGTCTGCCTATTTTATTGTAAAATGTTGAATAATTGCTTCCTCCATAGAGGAAGCTATGTGATGGGTTCGAATATAAGTTTTTGAACCAGACCTCGTACGACAATTTCGTTTACATTTTTGTAAACTAGATCGAATCCCCAACACTTATCTGTATGTATATGTGTGTGTGTGTGTGTGTGTGTGTGTGTGTGTGTGTGTGTGTGTGTGTGTGTGTGCCGTGTGCAGAGCATTATGTAGAAAACGGGACGGTGAATCGTGTTGAATTAAATTGTATTTATTGTCGAATGTCTTAAGGATGAAGCCCGTATAATTTTTATTTTGATCACGCAGAAAAATTTTTTTTTTTTAATTTTCGAAAAAAAATTTTTTTCGGATTTTCTTGTAAATGCACCAACTTATGAAAAAGTAATCATTTCAAATTTAATTTAATCATTATCATTTTGAATTTTTATTTTAATTACTCAGAAAAAAAAATTTTTAACCTTTTTTCAACTTTTCAAAAAAAATGTTTTTTTTGTTTTTGCTTCCTCCATAGAGGGGTTTTTCCTTGTACTATTAAACAATATATTTGATTTTTTTTAATTTAAAAAATATACAAAATAACGATATACTAAATTTTTTTTTTAAATTATTATTAATCCTAAATAACTTTTATGGAGGAAGCTCCTTGCCAATGTCTTGGCAGCGGTTTTTACATTTTTGTAGGATATCAAAAAACTTAATGAAAAAATGTTATGATTGCTAAATAAGCATATCTGTGGTGATTCCCTACTGCACTCTCATTTTTTCATTTCCGAAAATCCATGATGAGCTATAATCGACACTTGTGAAAGTAAAGATTCTTTCATTAATTCTTTTGTTTAATTATTAAGAATTGTCGAGGTCGATTCCCAGTACGTAAGATAATAACTAGTTACAGCCTATGAATAAAAGTTAAGCTTTTACTAAAACATTGTATATGACAGGGGTCGTTTTTCATTTATTCACCAGCTTAGCACTGAAAGATCAGACTATTTTACTTTGGGTGTACTTGAAAAATTTTTGGGGAAAAATATCTTAATATTATCAAATTATACATTTGTGCAGTAAACTTTTAAAATCCGTTTAAATATCTAGTTTTTGTAAAATATTTGTACAAATTTTGAATACATTTTGAGCGGGAAACTGACTTTGAAAATCCTCGCGAGAGAAGGGCAGACAATAAAATTTTGGTATACAAACATCACATCGAGCTGTTGTCATTCAGTCGATTCTTGCCATCGATACGTCAAAGAGATCATCTTCTGTTATGTCGAAATTATTGCTAATCGTTGCTCTGCTGCTGCTCGTGACGACGAGCTCGTCGATCGTCAGCGGCGACCTGTTCCACGATCACGAGGGAGTCCCGTACTTTTTTCAATTGCCCGACAAAGAAGACGCGAAAATGTGCTGCGCTCAGTGCGTCGACGAAAAGACGTGCCTCCTCTACACTGAGAATCGGAAGGACACCTGCGCGGGCCTCATCGATCCCGAGTCGATTGGATTGATGTGAGTTTGAACAAAAAGAATAAGACACTTACACACCAAATTTGTGTCGTCAATTGACGGGTTTAATTTGCTCGTATTATAAAAATTTGCAGCAATTTCCCGGGCGGCCGAATGATAGCGACCTCTAAGCGTCTGAACGACAAGTGGCAGGTGCTCTGGATCGAGAACGCCGCTAACCCGGTGCTCAAAAGCCGCGACTTCAGCTGGAACGATTGCGCCTGGAAGTCGAAGGTGCGCTCCGACGACGACCTAGACCCAGATGTCACGGAGCTCCTCATGGACGCTGTTTTTGATCCGAAACACGACCACGAGGTGCTGGTCTCGCTCGAGGAAGCCCACTGCGACACGTTCAATTGCGACGTCACGTTTTATAAGAAGCACCCGAGGGACTCCATTCAACCCAGCACGAGGACCGTCGGCGTGCCAATAAGCGCGAAGTTTTTACAGCTTGAAGAGATGCACGAGCCGGAGGAGCTGAAGGAGATGAAGGAGCCGAAGGTCGAGAGGAAAGATCTGTGAGAATATTTTTTTAGGTGCCCAAAAAAAAGCTTCAGTAAAGTATTATTTTCAAAGTCGTCTGTTTTGAATATCATTCTTTTATGTTGAACGAAAAAAATGATATATTTTAGATAATGATTTATAATTTGAAATTAAACGCGTAATTGTAAACAAAACAATTATCGACTTTGTTTATTCTGACCGAGCTTATTGAGTTTTCCTACATCTGTTTACCTGTTCTCAAAAGCTCATAAAATTTATGAATTATATACAATTTATCGAAAATCAATAACGATTGATAAAATTGATTTTATGATTCTAATGAAAATATTTCGTCCTCGAGTCCGTCCAATTTCTAAGTACAGTGACGCATAAAAAGCACGAGAAAAGCGGCAATAGTTGCATCAGTGTAAGCGCCAGTTGTGACAAGAAATATAAAAATCCATCCCTCGCAGTCGACGACTAACTGTTGACACTCGCGGGATAATCGTTTTCCGATTTATCGAGAATAAAATTAAAATTTTTAAATATAATTTGAATGCTATGAGTTGTATGCACAATAGAATTCGTAAAATGGTCTCCAAAAAATAGATGAAGAATTCATTAAGATTGGGAAAGAGGTCAAATTGACCTGGTCAATCAGTAAATGAGTCGTATAGAAACTGTTAAAAAATGTCAAAACTCAGCCCATAAAGGATAATTTTCTGAAGATTTTGACATCTATCAGGAACTCCCACTTGAATAACTCTGATCTGAACCTTGTGCACAGCGCCGAAAGGCTAAAATAGCAAAAATGAGCTATTTTTAAATGCAAAGGCCTATTCCTAAGTATTTTTTAGGGCTCATAGATGTAATTTCATGTTGAAAATGTAGATTGACATTAAACAGTGGTTTGTATCACAAAAATGACAAAGAGAAGTGAATTGGTGTATAAATCCCCTTAATTTTTGTAATAATAGCCGATTAAATTATTTAAATTATAGCGAGCTCGGTCACATAGGTTACTGCTTTAGTTTGCAGTTTACTTGTTGTAATAATAGCCGATTAAATTATTTAAATAAAAGCGAGCTGGGTAGCGAAGGTAACAGCTTTGGTTGGCAGATTTATCATAAAAAACATTACTGAGCTGGGTTTCGTAGGTGACTACTTTGGTTTGCATTTTCTAACATTCTCTAACATTTTAAAAATTTATAATACAATTTTTCCTTACAATTTTTGGTATTCAGGTTCTGAAGGTTTTGAATCTCGCGCCCGAGCGCCATCTTGAATTCTTTCAAGGCCGGGTTCCCTACTTGGTTTACTCAGTAGGGTGATAAAAAAATTTCATAATAGGGGCGGCAAAATTTGATGGGCGGCATTTGTGGTAATCCGACCCTGCGTGGCCTTTGTTTCGTTTTAATAAGTTCCAGCGAATGAGTTTCGAGGTACAACCCCCATAATGTGTAGTTGATACGTATATCATCCCACTTGTGTGTTATTATTTCACCACCTCCTCGAATTCCGTTTTCCTCATCGGCAATGACAACGAAAAAAACCTTTAAGCCCTCCTTTTGACGTTATTTACGGGAAATTTATATAAATTTGATGATTAAACTTTCACAAGGGCTTTGTTAACATTAGTGAATTATTCACTGATCGTTTTTCTTATGTAATTGTTTACAATACAATACTCGTACGTAACAAATATTTTTTATTTCATTTTCACCATATGAGCGTTAGTTATTAGAAAAATTTAGTGTGAAAAACAACATTATTAACATCAACAACATGGTTCATTCAGATATCACTAACATAGAGGCAAAAGCTCGAAAATGCATGGTAGTTTTAGAAGTTTCTCAATTTCCTTTGTATGTATTCCTTACAAAATACACATTTATATGGCCAGGCCAAAGTTTACGTACGAAATCTATAGGAAGATTTTTCAACAATTTATTCTTATCAGTTTTGGCAATTTCTTCGGTATGTATTTAATTTAATAAAATTGAAAAATGTACAAAGAATATTAAATTTCTGTAAGACTATTGAATTATTATGAATGTACAACCTTTTTTTAATATTAGACTATATATTTAGGTCATGAAGGCAATCGAGGAATTTAGAGAGGAAAACATCAACAGTAACAGTATAGTTGAATGTACTTTGCAAATTTTAGCGTTTTTATCAATATTGTATATATTTACAATTTTGTAATCATTAATAAATGGAAGGTAAGAAGTTTTTTTCAATGAACTTGATATTATTATCGATCAAATTTTATTTCAGACGTATATGGGTTTATCAATCATTTATAGACTGTTTGAAAGCAGTGATTTAGCAGCGAAACAAATATCCAAAAAAAATAATAAAAAAGGCTCTCTGTTTGGGCACCATTTAAGCGGGTAAACTAAAATAATTTAGGGATGTAACCAGCAAAAGTGGACACAAAATACATTTTTCTGACACATCAAAATTATTCGGCTATTTTTTGCAGCTATATTTTTCAGATTTATTTTGTGTGTCAGCAAGAGATTTGTTGCTGAACCAGTTGTTTACTTTTGCTTCATTAGACTATAATATTTTTTTTAATGTAATAAATATGTTTTTTTTTAACAATATAATATCATAATAATATAAAACAATAATAATAATAATAATAATAATAATAATAATAATAATAATAATAATAATAATAATGAGGTCAATAATTTTCGTTCATTACTTTACAGTTAGCTTCCTTATATTGGGTGTAAGCTACGTAAGTTTTCCAGTCGTCACTCCTATGATTTTGTCGAGGTTATTTCCAGATAATCCAACATATGAAAAAGTTTTACCATTGAGAACTGAATTTTTTCTCGATGAAAAAGAATACTTTCATTGTATTTTTATTGTACAACTTTTTTTAGTTATTTTACTCGCCACACTTTGCGCAGCCATCAATTATTGTGTGTGTATGTGCGCAGGTGTTATCATTGGTCAGCTTCAATGTTTAGAGTACGTGAACATTTTTCAATTATCTATCCAGTAGATTTTATTTCATGAATCTCGAACTGCTTTATTATACAATTTAGATATTACTTAAATGGAATAGACATTGAGTTCGAACATAATATTTCTGAACTTGATGAAACTAAAATCAACTTGATTTGTGAAAATCTAAAGACGATTATTTGTTGTCATCAGAATTGCATCAAGTAAGCTATTTTTTATGCGAGAACATAATTTCTAAAAGTCTTCTATCTAAGAATTTCATCATTGATTCATTCGCGGATTTTAGGTTTTCTGTGATGTTTCATTCCATGATCAAGCCTTCAGCATTAGGAGTAATAGTATGTGCGACATTCGTTCTCATTTTAACTGGAACGTGGGTAAGTATTCAAAGATAAGTGATGGTAATGTCAAAGAAGATAGACACGTATAGAAGCACAGAACCATAGGCGCGATTGAGGCTGGCTCATATGGTACCAAAACCAACTTCAAGGGGGCGCGGCGAGCAACCTAAGCCCGTTGTGCATAAGCTACGCACAGTCACATGGTGGTAATGTCTTCGTAGCCGAGTGGTAGCGCACTCGGCTCTACATTTTGGCTCGGGCAATCGTGCGCGGGTTCGATCCCCCGCAGCAGCTGAGATTTTTTTTTATTGAAATTAATAGGAATAAAATAGGGATACTGCATTTGGCTAACCGTAGTCGTGAAATTAAAAATATGTAGGTGGTAAAACATTTTTTGAAACATTGTATCGCAATTCAAAAAAGATTCATGTTAAATTTGATTATTCCACGACTACGATTACTCGATGGAAACCGAGCGGGAAGGTAGCAGATTATTTTCCATCAGGAGAAGAAATGTGGGAAAGGATATAAGGAATATGAGGAAGGAATTTAGGAAGAGAGATAGAATAAATTTTTATTAATTTAGACATATTTATTTTAATACTTAAACGCCGACTAGAACCTAAACTTGCAAAAAATATTATTAATGATTAATACATTTAAAATATATAATAAAATTAAATATAAATATATACAAGTATCATGGCAACGTAATTTATGATTTGAGAATTTTTATTTTCTTGTTCGGTTTTTCGGTGGAAGAATCGATTTTACAAGATCGTTTTATATTTAAATCGCGATTGTCTTTAGTTATCCACTTTACGTTATTGAAAATATGAACTTTAACGAATAATTCAATTATGTACCGATGATGTTCCAAACAAGGACCGTCTGATAAAAAGTGTTCCTGCGTTTCAGAAATGGCTTTTACAAGTAAACTAGTTAAATATTGACTAAGATTATTTTCGTGACTATTGGCTTGAAATTCTTGTGCAATGATTTTATAAGCTACTTTAATTACGCGGAAAAATGAATCTGACGGAGCTTTTAATGAACAAGTTTTTGTGCGATCAGAATCTATACTTGAAAAGGTTTTCCATAAAATAAGCACATCCGATGCTTGAGAATCTAATTCAATTTCTTTATTAATTAAATAATTTTCGCACGACGGACAAGAAAATGTTTTAATATTTTTATAAGCTAAGTAACCCGCGACATATTTTTGAGAACAAATTTGCAGGGTCGACTCTTGTTCTTCACTTTCATCGTTTACTTCTTGAATCGAATCTATATCATTATCTAAAAACCATGCTTCGACAGCTCTTTTAACATTTTCGTCGATTTCATTACTTTTCTCGTTACTTGCATTATTTTCGTCGTTATTTTCCTCGATCGGTTTTAATTTTGTTTTAGTTTTCGAAAATTCCGTTATTAACAGTCGAGCTTCGTCGTTAGCGCAATTACTACCGGGTGGAGGGACCAACAAAGTTATCATAATGGAATATTGAAAATTTCTACGAAATTGCATAGCTGTAGGATTATCATTATAGCCAGAGCGAGCTCTCATAAAGCCGAAAAAATTTTCTATGACATCTTGATTTAAATTAGCAGTTAATAAATATGGCTTCTCGGATGCCTTTAAATCTTTCCAAAATTCCAAAATACTAATAATACTAAATTTTAAATTTTTAAAACAATCGGGATTTTTAGAATTTCTATCAGTAGTTTTAATATTCCATTTATCAATTCTCTTTAAACAATGCTCTAAAGAATCTTCTACAGTTGAAAATTTACTCGATAAACCGCGTTTCAAGGGATTAGGATCGTTAATACATCTAGCGTTTAAACAATCGAAAATGTCATTTACTTCT